AACAACCACTGATCATGCTGATCTCTGAGAATAAATTCCTGCAGCCTATGCCCAGGTCACCGAAAATTAAAACCTGTATGAATCTAAATCTCGGGACACAAGCCCCTGGATTTTATCTTGGCGCATCCGTCCCCTATATAGCCACCCTGCCTGCTGAGCGAGACTCTTGGAAGCCGAGGTTTTCGAAGGAGCTGGCCGATCAGATTCGCGGAGGTGCAAGGAGACCACCATGGTGTGCCATCGGTTCAGACGTGCGATGTGCACACTGGGCGTGGCAGACTCCGCCTGACGAGGTTCTCGAAAGACATCCTCTGTCGTCTTGGTCGTCTGTGGGCCCTCGCTTGCCTGAACCAACTCTGTCCGCAAACTGTCTGGCACCAGCTCGAAGGAGTGTTCAGCAAGCTCCAGGAGAACCAGCCGTGGCCACTGCCATGATGTCCAGATGATCTGGTGCAAGATGTCGTCCACGTCGCCGTTGCCAGCGTTCTCTGCCGCCTCCCATGTACTCCAGATCTTTTCCATGCGTTTCAGGCTTCTGCTGACAACTTCGCGGTCGTCATGAATTAACCCAAACACGCACATTGGAAAGGACCATGAGTACGCCAGCAGCCTCAAAACATGCGCGCCCAGGAGGCTCACTTGAAGGCTGAAGCAGTACATGGCCAGCATGTTCTCTTGCTCCTCTGACTGGTCCCACAGAAGCGGCTCATGAAGCAAGCTTATGCCACAGCTTTTCAGTGTCTCTGGACAGCGCAGGATGCCTGCAAGGCCACATAGCCAGGTCTGCCATTCGCCGTCTGCTTGCGCAGCAACTCTGGCTCTGGTGCCACGCCTGGTTTTTTGTATGGTGATGCTTTTGCCATGCTCAGTTCGTGAAGGCTTCAGCATTGCAACCAACAAATTTGCCAGGCATCGGGTCTGCGGAGACGCCATGGTCTGAGCACCCACGCGGAGGACATTGATCTGTGCGTGCTTCAGCTTCGTTTCGGCACCACAGTCTTTCATGCCTCCTCTGCCAGCACCATCTGCGGGAGGAGTAGCCAGCTCCGAAGCTCTTTGCTGCACTGTCTTGTAGTACTGCACGGAGGCAGCAATCACTGCGTCGACATTTTCAAAGATGCCTTTTTCCAGTGCCAAGAGCACAAGAATTGCTGTGTACTCCCACCAATGTTCCAGGATTTCTGCCAACTTGTCCACTATCGAATACCACCTAGCCCACTTGACATCTGTGCCAGATCTTTTGAGCAGTGGGCACGCCTTCCATCGCGCCAGTGTCTGGGTCAGTGACTCGATTGACCCAAAGGATTCCTGCAGGTGACAAGCTTGTGTTCACATGCAACTGAAGCCTGCACTCACTAAGCTACGTTGCATTTTTGGTTATGAAGTATATTCACGGCTCTCCAACCCTGTGCCGGAAACAATTTGGCCAGGGGGTTATAGCTTCGTTGCTGTTTTGTTCTGGCTTGCTATGTTGCTGAAAAACCTCTATTGGTCGAACAAGTTTGGTTTCATGCCTGTGTCCTTGTCATTGTGTCCTCGCAGGAATTCGTACCAGTGCAGGAAATACGGGCAATCAATAGTGGCCTGAGAGAAGTACGACTCAGCGCAGCCGTGTAGTTGGTGTTGAAAGGAGTAGGAGCCGAATGGGCATCTTCCGATGTTGACCACCAGCAGGAACGAATTAAGAAGTGCGCCTAGGCCTGCATTCTTGGCGGCAGCTCTGTCATCATCCCAACATTTGCGGGGTTCATCGTAGAAAAAGCTTCCACAGAGGTCCGTGGCCCCGTAGAGCGCGAACCACTGCGTCCACCCCAAAGAGCCACGGTCGCTTCGCGCATGAAGTCGATTTCGCTTTTCCCCCATCCCAATAAGTTCCAAACGTGTCTTGCCGCTTTCGCTGTCAAAGATGCACGCTCGTCTGGTCTGGCCATTGAACAGAAGTTCAGGCTCGAGGTCAGCCGCAAGAACGTAGTAGCGAGTCTCCGTGTTTTTCAGCCGTCTCACTGGCCATGGATTGAAGAATGAAGCGATGCTCAAGCCGGTGCCGGTCCGAAGTGCGTGGTCGGTCGCCTTGATGCAGATCAGTGTGGGAATGCGGACATCCTTCTCCTCCTTCTCCTTGGCCCGCAGTCCCGCCTCATTCTGTGAAGCCAGATACCTCGAAAGATTCTTCTTGTATTGTTGCAGCTCATCCTTGGGCATCTCTTGGCCTGGTCGAGTTTTCGTTTTCCGGTAGTCACGCACCACCTGGGAAAGGTCTCTTGTTTTCACACACTTGAGGGGTGATGAAAACCCCCCACCCATCTAATGACCCTTAATCCTGCTATCGTTGGTTTT